TTCTCTCTTCTTTCTTCTCTCTTCCTCCTCCCATGGGTCTTTGACAAGCGACCTGGGGTCCATTGGGGTCCATCCTGGGTAGACCAATGTTAGTGGGACAGACTGGAGTCGTTGTTGTTCCCCTTCCATCTTTACTGGGTCGTCTGGGGTCGTCTGCAGAACGACCTGGGGTCCACTGGGGGTCCGTCAGTCTTGGGGTCCACTGGGGTCCGTCCGTCTTGGGGTCCGTCCGTCCTGGGGTCCACTGGGTAGACCAATGTTGACCGACTGAGAGGGCTGCATCTTGGGGTCCCCCGGGGTGGTGGTGGTGGTGGAGCCATGACCTCCAGGTAGTGGGCTGGTCGTCGAGATAAACGCCCGTGAGTATGGTACACAGCAGCCGTCTCCCTCTTTTGTATGTGCGCCTCGCCTCTCTTCTGGCTCCAGCCTGTGAATGAACAGAAAGGCGACAATACCGTGCTCCCAAAATGTTGTGTGACCCTGTAGTTTGTATAGGGTTTACACAGTCCAGTCATAACGCTTTCCTCCTGGCAACAACTACACTTAAATTTTTAAAATAATCCAATTAACACTGAATGATACTGACTTGGTGGAACATAAGACAGTAACAGAGTAAAGTTTAGAGAAGAGAGAATAAGGTCGTCACTACTTTTAACTTGTCACTAAATGAATCTCCACAAAAAATATCAAAACTAATAGACCAAACACTAGCCTAACTTAACTATACCGTTCCTAATCTTAAGTACTTAAATAGCCGTTACTCCCACCCTTAACCTACAGCCACCTCCGTGACCCAGAGTGTTTCCCTAGCTTCTCCGCCGGTCAACAACTCAAAACTGTTGCCACCCCTGTGACCAGACTATCTAACGTCGAGCGTCCCCAACGTGAAGTCTACTGACATACTAAGTCTCCCCCTAGCATGCTGTACAATACCAGTACACCTCGGGTTATTGCGTTCAAATGGAGTAAAACAGTCGATCGCAATAATCTGAGCAGAACCACCACTTAAAACTACTTAAGAACTACACCTGCCACTCCCCAACTGACCTGGAGACCAGCGGTGGCTGGGTGTCCCCGTGGGACATGCGAGGTCACCTGTCACACTCAGCTGAGCTCTACTACCACCTACCGCTAAGTCCCCAAATCACCAAATCTTATCACTAACATTAATCACTACACACGCAAGTTCTGATGAACATTCCCTGAACACCACAAAACTCATAAAATCACTAAATCACAACGCCAGAGAATCACTATCTCCTAACCTGAAAAACTCGCTAAACTCGCGAATATTAAAACACCTGTCAAGATCTCCCTGATAGCGCCTGAGCGGCAAAAGACACGTGGGACTGAACAATGTTAAATGAACACCATCTACCTACAACATTGTTCAACACCGCTGCCAACATTGTAACGGGGGGGGGGGGGGGGGAAATAGCTCTATCTTGTCCATTATTCCACCCCCCAGTTAACTAACGAGGCCGGGGGAAACAGCTCTCTCTAGTCCGTTATCCCGTCCCCAGTTAGCTAACTATTCTAGATCACTCCCAGAGTCCCTAAGGCAACCTCTCTCGTTCAACACCTTGTAACCTAGGTATTTGACTACCTAGGTGCTAAGATTACAAGGCGCCGTAACTTGATCAGTTACCCGAAACTCTAGAGAGAACTCTAGAGTACATTTCTCTGCCACAAACGTATAAGAGAAAACGAAAGGAAAGAAATGAATAGTGAAGTAATTAGTGAGGGTTTGGGGTAAGAGGTAGGGAGGTGCGAGGAGGGTCATTAGTTGAAAGTGAGAGTTTAGAGAGGGGTGGAGGGAGAGGTGTAGATAGGTAGAAGTAGAAGAGTAGATAGTAGAAGAGTAGATAGTAAAGACGAAATGCTGCCACCATCCATTCTAGACCATTACATACAAGACAAGGAATGGAACTTGTCTGTATCAAAATATTCTCAAAAGATGTTATCACCATGTATCAACTCCAAACATGTACTCATTAATATCATGAATCCAGTAACCACAGAGGCTTTCTCACCTCAACTCAAAGCTCTAGGGAACAAAGACAATTTAAATAATAAATTCATAATTATATTTCATATGAAGTATCATACTTTAGCAATTCCAATGTTCAAGATTTATATGCAACGTAAGTCATCAACCAAGAATTTGAGAACCCTACAACTTGACTGCCCCTGAGCCTCACACAACATATGTAAACACGACCAAGTCACCTTAATGTTCAACTCACCAAGTGTCTGCCTCTAGCTGGATAGAGGGGGGGGAGTCTGCAGCTGTCAGGCAGCTTCACCCCCGTCCGACTGACAGCCTGTCTCGGCTGTTGTCGTCCGGCTCTGCTGCCTGGTCTTCTGTCTTGTTAATCCTCTCGAATCGATAGCTCTCCGAGTATATATTGGGGAACCTAGTAGCTATCTCCGCCCACAAGTAGATAGCCTCCGGCTCTCTACCAAGCCACTCCTTAAACGTCGGCATGTTTGAAGGCTACCAGGCTCCAATTATAAGATTAGTAGAAGTAAGGTGAAATTCTCATGATCTGACCTCAGGTCACTTGGGGTCATTAACTCTTAGAGGTGTGAAACTCAGGCCGACCAAGCTGGCGCCTTCTCAAATCCTTGTCTGTGACTCATGTACTCTATGTATGTATTAAATGCAACTAAACCAAACACTTTTACAGTGTTACAGGGAGTGGAATTTACATAATATTTGTATTTCAGCTGGAGTACCAGCGTATGCGAGACAGTAACGTCTACACGATCATGTATTTCCTCCAGTAGCCTGTGCAACATGTTTACGTCTACGAGAATACGACTTGCGAGACGCACACTGTGATACCTACTCAACAGCTAAGCAATCTTTTATGTATTTAGTAGACAAACATTGCATCTAACTAACCATTGTATAATTAATGATTTATAATCTATATCCATGCATTTCTTATTCTCATCACGTATACAATTTATTGAACATAATATGCATTACATAGACTAACCTCATAGAACTCCCTCCCTCCCCCCTCCCCCACAAAAAAAAAGTGTTATGGGAAGCGGCTTTAGAATTCATAGAATTTACAGTTCATTATTGCATTCTGGTCCTTTGAGCATATTAGAATTATACATTATTTTATTAGCATTCAAACTAGAGCCATAATTCCCCACAGCTACCAACCAATACATTAATATAATAGTTATTTTTCAAGTTCGTTCCTATAAGCTATAGCTCCAGGAAACAAGTTGTCTGTAGTAAATTTTAATTCCTGTAATTTTTCTTCGTTCATTTGGAGTATACCTGGAGTATACCTGGAGTGCGGGTTCTTCCCCAAGCCCGGCCTGGGGCCAGGCTTAAAGTTAACCAAGTTGGTCCAACAGGCTGTTACTTGGAGTGGCCCGCATGCCCACAGGAAACAGAACGGTCCAGCACAGCGGCCTGCAGGCCCACAGGAAACAGGGCGGTCCAGCACAGCGGCCTGCAGGCCTACAACAAGCAGGACGGTCCAGCACAGCGGCCTGCAGGCCTACAACAAGCAGGACGGTCCAGCACAGCGGCCCACAACAAGCAGGACGATCCAGCACTTCGTGATGAATCGCGTACAATTTTCACGTGAACACGTCCACATTGGTACCAGCAATGTTTCTTATGATTGCTAAGAGGATAATTAATAGCCGTGGACCTTTGATGTGTTGGCCCTTGATCGCCTCCACACGACGCTCCCTGCCATGTATTTTGTTCCTGTATGTTGATGGGTCTTGGTAGCACAGTCGGAATCTTTCTTAACTCACAATTAAGAACCTCGGGTTCACATTCCAGATAGGACAGAAATGGTGGGGCACGTTTCCTTTCACCTAATGCCTTTGACTATCTAATGATGGTCACTCATCAATTGCCTTTTCACTGTGTATATAACATCTGCATTTTGGTATTCTTCACATGCTTCGGTGATCATGTCAACCCATGATGACATGGATTATGAAGTTCTTTTCCATAATACTGCAGCTATAATTTGTAATCACTCTTTTGGGAACAATAATTGTGTGTGACGTTACTGAGACCGGTCTGTAGGCCTACCTCTCTTGTGTAGTGGACCTGTATCTGCTGAGTCAGGTCTCGGATATCTTGCCTGTATGCAAGCTTCACTATACTACACTAAGTGCTCCTGCTACGGGTAATTTACATTTCTTTTTAATATGAAATTTCAGGTGTCGGGGCCCAGAGCCGAGTACATGAGCATATTGTCAAAATTCTCTTTTAGTTTTTGTGCTTTCAGTTATATTGTCATGGGGTTGAATATCGTTTATAAAAAAACTGTCAAATCTTCAACTTTCATTTTGCTTATTGTGGTAATTAACATAGCCTCATACTGATCTTTTAAGATTTAAAATTTAAAAAAATTTCGTTCTCTTTGTATGAACCTAAACTTGCAAGTACAGGTACTCACAGGTGAAAGTACAGGTTTGCCAATGAGAGTAGAGGTACTCGTAGGTCTGACAGTGAGAGTAGAGGTACTCGTAGGTCTGACAGTGAGAGTAGAGGTACTCACAGGTTTGACAGTGAGAGTAGAGGTACTCGTAGGTCTGACAGTGAGAGTAGAGGTACTCACAGGTCTGACAGTGAGAGTAGAGGTACTCACTAGCCTGACACTGAGAGTAGAGGAACACACAGGTCTGACACTGAGAGTAGAGGAACACACAGGTCTGACACTGAGAGTAGAGGAACACACAGGTCTGACACTGAGAGTAGAGGAACACACAGGTCTGACACTGAGAGTAGAGGAACACACAGGTCTGACACTGAGAGTAGAGGAACACACAGGTCTGACACTGAGAGTAGAGGAACACACAGGTCTGATACTGAGAGTAGAGGAACACACAGGTCTGACACTGAGAGTAGAGGAACACACAGGTCTGACACTGAGAGTAGAGGAACACACAGGTCTGACACTGAGAGTAGAGGAACACACAGGTCTGACAGTGAGAGTAGAGGTACTCACGGGTCTGGCAGTGGTTGGGTCCCCAGCAGCGTGGAGCCCCACAGCGCTGGGACGGGAAGCAGCCCAGCTCCTGAGGGCAGGCTGGACACTCAGCTTCGTGGCGGTTGTGCTGCGGACAAGCATGTGTAAGTATAACAAAAGGCAGCTTATAGCGAATGACAGTGGAAAGTAATTCATAAATCCATTCCATACAAGCATACATTAAAAAAATCATGACACTCTGACAGTGTCAGAGCACGGAGCACGGAGCACGGAGGACGGAGCACGGAGCACGGAGGAAGAATAGAAACAGAAATTTCCTTAAGTACTTCCGTATATTAATACATCTTCAGAAGGACTGATATACGGAAGTACTTAAGGAAATTTTTGTTTCAATTCTTCCTCCGTGGTCTGATACTGTCACGTTTTTCATCACGTGATTTACACACACACACACACACACCCAGAAGTGACTCGAACCCATACTGCCAGGAGCACACTGCTGGCGTACAGGATCCCTTAACCGCTCGACCAACACAACCGGACAAAAGAGGATGGTAGCCGAGGCTATTTCCATCACCCCGCCGGCACTCTGTTGGTAATCTTGGGCATGGTATTTTATCAAATTACCTCATTCTTCCCATACTGAGGAACCCATCCTCAGTATGGGTTCGAGTCACTTCTGGGGCCTGGCGCTTGCTCCTGATACTTCCCTTCCCTCCCCCCTCACAGTGTTCAAGAGAGAACTGGATAAGCACCTCCAAAGGATACCTGATCAACCAGGCTGTGACTCGTACGTCAGGCTGCGAGCAGCCGCGTCCAACAGCCTGGTTGATCAGTCCGGCAACCAGGAGGCCTGGTCGACGACCGGGCCGCGGGGACGCTAAGCCCCGGAAGCACCTCTAGGTAACCTCAAGGTAACCCCCTCACCCGTGTCTTCGGCCCTCCCAATCATTCCTCACTCCACCCTCCCCTTGTCCTCCCCACCATTCCCCACTCCACCATCCCCTCTTCCTTCCCACCATGCCCCTCTCCCCTGTCCCTTTGTCCTCTCTACCATTCTCCATTCCCCCGTCCCCTCGTCCTCACCATCCCAGACTCGTCCGTCCCCTCGTCCTTCCCTATCATTACCCCTTCCCCTGTCTCCTCGTCATCCCCACCATTCCCCACTCCCTCGTCCGATGCCTTCCCAAATGGTCTGATGTTCTCATCAGAAAATTGGGAACATCAAATTATCTGATGTTCCCATCACTGAAGTATAAGAAAAACAGTTAAAAAATTAAATGAAATTACTAAAAATAATTATAAAATAAACTTTACTCACGAAATGAATGGTATGGTAAACAACACAGCTCAATTCCAACGCAATTCACACAAAAAATTTAAATCAAAATGAAAATAAATCAAAATCTATGGAAATTCAATTTATCAGTGCAGTCAGAAACATTGAAATGGAATTGTAACATATTTTGTATAGCATGCGTGTAGCTTTTATATGCTGATGGTGCTGTTTTTCAAGAAAATCATTGTTTTACCAGTCACAGGTGTGGCATCTATACTTATACTTACGAAATGAACTGTATGGTAAACAACTCAGCTGAATTCCAACACAAAGTTACACAAAATAATTCAATAAAAATTAAAAGAAGTCGAAATCCATGAAAATGAAATTTATCAATGCATTGCAGGCGATGAGTCACAATAACGTGGCTGAAGTATGTTGACCAGACCACACACTAGAAATTGAAGGGACGACGACGTTTCGGTCCGTCCTGGACCATTCACAATCGACTTGAGAATGGTCCAGGACGGACCGAAACGTCGTCGTCCCTTCAATTTCTAGTGTGTGGTCTGGTCAACATATATCAATGCATTCATAAACACTGAAATGGAATTCGTGACATATTTAGTATAGTGTGCATGTTTCTATTATATGCAACAGATGGCGCTGTTTTACAAAATCGCCTGTTTTTACCTGTCACAGGGGTGGCATCTATATAGTAGGCATATAAAAAGACGCGCCTATTCGAATGCAACGTTGTGTCAAAATTTCAAAGCAATCGGTAAAGAGGTTACGAAGATTTCCCTCGCATGAAAAACTCATGAAAAACACAGTTTTTCAAAAAAGCATGTTTTTTTTTTACCGTCACAGACGTGACATCAATATAGTATGTATATAAAAACCTGCTCGGATGCTAATGGAACGTTGTGTGAAAATTTCAAAACAATCGGTGAAGAACTTTCTGAGATTAGCGGTTATGCACAAACGAACATTTCCATTTATATATATATATATATATATATATATATATATATATATATATATATATATATATATATATATATATATATATATATATATATATATATATATATATATATATATATTGGAATACTGTAAGGAATTTCTTTAAGTACTTTCGTATATTAATACATCTTCAGAAGGAGTGAAGATGTATTAATATACGAAAGTACTTAAGGAAATTCCTGTTTCATTTTCCTCCGTGGTCTGACATTGTCACATTTTTAATCACGTGTTTATTTTCGTGATACACACACACACACACACACACACACACACACACACACACACACACACACACACACACACACACACACACACACACACACACACACACACACTTGACTTGTGACCATCGTGTTGGGTGGACGTGGGGTTGGGAGCTTCTGGTTCACTAGTGGAGTGGGAAGGGTAATCAGGCAACTTCGAAGTGTAAAAGTGTGTACAAGTGAATGAAAAAAACTTGGGTTTTGACCAAAGCCATAAGGTAGTGAAGAAAAACAGTTTAAATAGCATAATTCAAAATAGTTGATGAAGTACTGTGGCAGTGTGCAGTGTGGAGCAGACCTCACCGGCCTCTGACCGTGTGACCTCACCCCCGGCAGCAACCCTCCTACCACCACGTGGGACGACGCTTGGAGATTCACTCACCTATTGTGTTAGCAGGACGGTAAGATACTTGGAACCCCTGTGGGTAAGGTTGCATTATAGCAGTGACTAGGTCAGGAAGGGCGTCTAGGTCCAGCAGTATTATGATTGAGGAAGAAGATAGGTTTGTGGAGAAGATGATTAGGAAATTTGTAGAGAAGAGGGATGTTTGGATAGATGATCTAATCCAGGGGATTAAAAGTGAGGTCTTTAATTAGATACAGGACGAGGTTCAAAGACTCAAACAAGAGTTTGTGGATTATATTCAAGAGGAAATCACGAAGAGCAGGGTAGAATGGCAAGGAGAAATATCTAGGCTTACTAATGAATTTGGCAGGAATAAGGGAAGCTTTTCAGGGGATGGGGGAGTAGTAGTAGGTCGAGTAGCGGGAGTGGGAGGGGTGGGGGTCAGCCAGGGAGGGGGCCACCAGCATGACCCTGAACTGAGAAAGAGGACAATCATAATCCATGGATTGCTTGAAGCCAGGGCATCATCGAGGCAGGAAAGGATGGAGATTGAGGATTTGGAGCTACAGGGGATCTTGAGAGACATGAGAGCCCGATGGCAGGGAATGAGGTGCAAGTCCAACGATGCATTGGGCCATACAACTGTAACAGGAAACGACCTGTCCTGGTACAGTTCACTAACGAAGAGGCAGTGGATTACATACTGCATCACAAACACTTACTCAGAGGTAGCGAAAATTACTACAACGTATATATTGACAAATTCATGACGAAGGAGGAGCAGATAGCCCACAGAGCAAGCAAACAACAATACAACTCTTCCCATTTGAGCGTAGCTACACACCCCAGTGCTAATCCACCCCATGCTAACCAGCTCACACCTGCTTCTCAGGTCACTCCTTCCCCAAATCAGCCGCCCCTGCTTATCTCCCCAACACCTCCCTTGACCCCTCTGACCCCACTGCAGTCAAATTCATCCCACATTCCAAGGACCCCCTCATCACCTCAACCCCCAAAACCCGTCCAGCCTTCATCCCCTCAACCCCCAAAACCCGTCCAGCCTTCATCCCCTCAACCCCCAAAACCCACCCAGCCCTCATCCCCTCAACCCCAAGAACCCACCTAGCCCTCATCCCCTCAACACCCAAAACCTACCCAGCCCTCACCCCTCCTCATCCCCTCTCCTTCCATGTGACCCCCCCACCCTTGCAAGGGGGGTGGGAGGTTCCCCCCCACCCCCTCTATCCTTCCCCCTCCCAACTGCCCAACCTCTATCTGACTCCCAACCTTACGCTATCTCCCAACCCCTCTATGCCCTCCCTAATCTTCAGACCCAGTATGCCCTTCCTACTCCTGACCTACCTACCCTGGCCCTACCCCAGACCCTCCTATCTACCTTCCTAGAAGCCCAGCCCCCAGTAGCCCCCCAAGCACCACTCCTGACCTCTTTCACCCCCATACACCCCCCGGACCCCCCCAGACACCCCCCGGATCCCCCCGGACATCCTCCGGATCCTCCCCGCCCCCAGTCATCCCCCAGACACCCCCCAGATCCCCTAGATCCCCCCTGCTCCCAGTCACCCCCTAGACACCCCCCAGATCCCCCCAGACCCCCAGAGAAAGGGAGAACTCTGGTACAAGAGTTTCCATGAAGAATCTCAAGGTTTGGTACACCAATGCTGATGGGGTATCTAATAAAGCAGAAGAGATAAAAGAAAGAGTGAGTGAAGCAGATCCTGACATAGTTGCAATTGTGGAAACTAAAATTAATGACATGATTTCAGATGCAATCTTTCCTGAAGGGTACTAGGTGATACGAAAAGAGAGGACACAGAGACAGGGAGGGGGAGTAGCACTCCTAATAAAGCGGAAATGGAAGTTTGAAGACCTGGGAAATCGGGTTACCAATGAGTGCACAAGCTTCATACATGGAACTCTGATAGTAGATGGGAGGAAGATTGTGATCTTGGTAATCTACAATCCCCCACCAAACAGTAGAAGACCCAGGCAGGAGTATGATGTCAACAACAAGGCATGAATAGATGAACTGCAGAGGGCAGCAACACTAGCCCAAAGAATGAGAGCGAAGCTGCTGATCATGGGGGACCTAAATCATGGAGAGATAAATTGGGAATCAAGGAATCCCCATGGAGGGGACGAAACGTGGGGAGCAAAATTAGTAGATGTTATAGACAGGAATTTCCTAACACAAC